CAAATAGGATCCCTGCTTGTTAGTATTGTAATACCCATGCTGGTATTGTCTATTCTCATTCTGCAGTAATATATTTCCTGTCTTGTATCTTTCCTGTCCTTACTACTGAGGAACTAATGGTGTCTTTATGGCTGTAAGTACAGAAGATTTCTTCAAGTTCCTTGTCTATGGTTCCATTGTAGCCTAACTAAATAAATGGAAAGTGGTGGCCAATGAAAATAAACAGCAACTTTACAAGTTTTACCTCTTCAGAAAACGTCTGTATTATTCCCTGCCTTGGCTTCAGTATTCTAAGATCTCTGCAGCATCCTTGTGTTTAGTAACAAGTCTCATCAATTCATGGTTCAGTCAGAAGAATGCTTTGTGTAGAGAGGAAAGGAAAAAAGTTGGAGAAAGTGACTATGGAGGGGAATGAGACTGATTGTATCTTTCTTGGATCCAGTTAGACTGCTTTCTTTATGCCTTGGTCATTTCCTCTAAGAAAATGATAGGATTTTTGATGCTCTGCCGCAGGCAGCCCCCCATGGGCGAGTGCAGATGTGCTGAGCCACTTGGCTGTGGTGTGGACCGACTCAGAGAACCTCTCTTTTCCCTAATGAAGTCATCTCCTCTCTGGGCAGCCCAGCCTCTCCTCTCACTCCATGTTGAAACTTGGCTTTGGCTTGCATAGTTCCGTCATGATGTAGATGATCTTCTAGTTAAGTTCTGGAGAAATCTATCCAACCATGTACAAGAAAGAAGAAAACTGCTCTGTTGAAAGGAACATTTTACTGTAACATTTTGATTTAAGGACTGGAGAGAGAAAGACACAGTATTTGATTTCTGGGAAAACTAAATTTTATGGTTTTCTAGGTATATTTTGTTATGTTTAATTTATCTGAGAAATTTATACACCTTGGATTAAAGTGCAAAGAGAGAGGCTGGGAAGGTGGCTCAGTGGTAGAGCGCTTGCCTTGCATGCATGAGGCTCTGGGTTTGACTCCTCAGCACCACATAAGCAGAAAAAGCCAGAAGTGGCACTGTGGCTCAAGTGGTAGAGTGTTAGCCTTGAGCTGAAGAGCTCAGGGGCAGCGCCCAGGCCCAGAGTTCAGGCCTCATGACTGACAAAAAAAAAAAGTACAAAGAGATTTTCACCATCATTTGGCCTTTTGTAGGATTCCTTTTTAGTCTTTAAAAGAGATAATAAAGACCATGTATTATTTCTGCGTATCCTAGCAAACCAACACTTTAGTGATAGACAGAAAGAATGGCTTTACAACACTTGATACTCACAAGACACCATGTTGGAAATGAACTTTACAACTTTGGGGGAAGGAAGCTGGGGTGGGGGAGAAAATGAGGGAGGGGGTAATAATGTTAGAAAAAAATGTACTCATTACCTTACTTACATAACTGTAACCTCTCTGTATATCACCCTTCCAATAAAATAAAAAACAACAACATTCTATTAGACATAGAAAGAATGGCTGTCCCCAAAATGTAGTGTTTTTTTTAAAAAAATATAATTTATGAAACTATCTTACTGGTTTTGGTTTCTTTTCCCTAGGTCTTTGAAAGCCAATGATAGTGCAGTTATAATCGGTAGCATTCTTTCACAATTCAGAAAGCGCACTCTACTTGCTTGTACCTAGCATCAGTCAGCTTAGGGAACTGAAACATGAACTCTTTGTTTCCTGAATTTGAATAGGACAGGACTCTTGTCATCCCTAGCCCAGCAACAGATACTGCCATGTCTAATACCATTTCGTCTTATCAACAAAAAAAGAAGACTGAAACACAATCCTAAAGGCCTTTGGAAGGAGGTTTAGATGAAGATAATGACATTCCCTGGAGACCCACCTGCCATCTACACCTTTCTTCTCTTAACTCATTGGCTGACTGCCCCTGACCTCAGCCAAGTTCTTAAAGACAAGATCAAGGCAAAGAAGCAAGTCATGTTACTCTTGGCTTATGATTTCTTGTAGACACCAGCATGACTGGAGATCTTGCTTTATCTCTACCTAGGATCTTAGAATTTATATATACAACATTCCTAGTACAAGCCCATGATTTCAAGGGGGATTCATTGGATGAGTTTTTAATTATTGTTTGATACAATCCGAAGTATTAAAGTGTAGTTTCAGCAAGAAAAACTGCAAAAATATTTACCATTCTAACACTTTTTGCAGTTTTTTTTCAGACATTGCAGAATCAAAAATAGCTGCTTTCTTAAACTCTTAAACAATTTGAAAAGGAAAGCCCTCAAGAATACTTATGTAGATGGAGCTATGCACTCTATCCTGAATATACATTGCATGTTTTTTTTTAAATTATAGATAACTAAAGGGAGAACTATTCCTTAGAGAAAGAAAGCAAATGTTAAAGTATCATTTTTCTTAGTTATTTGATGGTGCAAAGAAGTGCTTAATTTTTCTAAACAATAATGTTACACACCAAAAGACAGGGAATGCAGGGTAAAGTTTTTGACTCTATACATATTCTTACCAGTTGAGACAGAGTAAGAAAGCAATTTTGCTCTGTGAAACTATTTGGTCCAGGGTTATAATGCCTAGGGATGCTAGAGGAGCTATAAATAGCAAAGACATAGAGAGACGCATTTAGGAAGATGAAGTAAAAAACAAAATCTAAGGATGTAAGGAGTAACCAACCTAAAGTTTTCTACAACGATCCACTATATGTAGATAATGTTACTTACAGTGAACGCTATTTCTTTTAAAAGGATATTTACCCATTATTAGTTGTTTGTTTCTGTGCTATTTCTCCTCTGTATAATTGTTTAACTGATTTATATTAGGAACATAGAGTAGGGTAATGGAGAAGTGATAAGCTTTCAGATGGGCAGATCAGTCATGAAGTAGCCTTGCACAAGTCACATACACTCTGTGATACTCAGATTTACTCACATTTAAACATAAAAATGATACATATCTGGAAGTTTCCCAAGAAAGATTGACTTTGATGCCTGGATTATGTATTTTAATAAAAATTCATTTTGTCTTATTTTCCTCCCTACTGTAGTGATTCATCTTGAGTCAAGATTGGGTCCTGGTCAAAGCTCTGTTGTTCAGTGTGTGCAGTTACTTCTGTACTTTAGTTTGTACACAATATGCAAGGGTTGAAATCTGACTCTGTGCTATGACTCTGTCACTCTAACCATTCAATTGGATGCAATTTTATGAATGGTAGTAGACTCATTAGTAGAGACTTTGTGCCAAGAACAAATAATTCACTGCAAAAAACCACCCATAATGCATAGGAGAGTTATATCCCTTTAGTAAGTAAGTAATACTGTAGTGAGCTGATGAATTTTTTTTAAATGAAAGAAAAAATGCACATCTTGCACATGAAATTATCCTGATCAAACTTCCACCTATCATTTAAAACCTATGGTCATGCTGAATGCATATAACTTAGAAATGCATAGGAGACTATGAAGAGACGCAAGCTTTATATGTGCTTTGTGTAAAGCCATGTTAAACCTTTAGAGAGAATAAGGAAGATACTTCCATATTTATCTAAAGTTTGTAACCCCAGTGCTCCACTAACAGGTCACTTGGACTTACTTAGTTCTCATTGTATAAAATAATACTTGACTTCAAAGAAAAAGAGAAAAACAAAAACTAAGTCCCTCTTTTCTGAGGAGCTGAAATCCTTTGTGTCAACTGGTTGACCCTTTGCCCTGTAAGGTCCTATAGGAAATCTTTTGTAGCACAGGGCAGGGGGGGCTTCTTCCATGTGGTGATGTTTACATAGCGAGGTGAGCCTGAGTGAAAGAAAAAAATCTCATAAACACATGAAAGATTTTGTTTCCTGACAGCAGGAAAGCTGACTGATATGGTTACTGACCGACTCGGTTACTCAGAAGAAGAAGAAAAAAAAAGTCAATAGTCTATTGGGGACACTTTCAAAGACCCAGGGGACGGCAAAAGGAAGTAAGCCAAGTGTAGACTTAAGTGGAGAGAGATGGGTACTTGGGGCAGAGGGACAAGATTGTCTTTGAATCCTGCTTGGGATTTGCCTGGGGGAATTTCCTGACCCGTCCTTTATGACCAGGCTCTTTGTGTATTGCAGGGTGCCTCTGGGCTCCCCGCGGAGCAGTTCCCTTGGGAGGGCTGAGGCCGAGCTCACACCTCCCTGGCTCACGAAGTATCTGCCCTCCCGGCCCCCCCAATACCCCCCGGGGTCTCCTTTAGGATGGCGGGAGCCTGGAGTCTGACACTTCTTCAGATGGGACCCGCGAGCCCTGTGCGCCCATAAACCCGCGATGGCTATAGTTCTTGGCTGATTTTGCTGAGTTTCATGCGCTCCTAAAGAACTACCCGTACTCAATTGTTTCATGCTTGCCTAACCCACCAGAGCCTGGGGCTCCTTTCCCCTAATTCAGAACGCGCAGCGTGGGGGCGGGGAGTGGGGGTGGGGAAGGTGTGGGAAGGAGGGGGAGGAGAGGGGGTGTCTGGGAGCCCTGGGCGGTGGAATGGAGTGACTCGCTGAATGGGGAGTCTAGCAGTCCCCCAAGCCGATTGGTACTTCACGTCAGGAAGAAACTCTAAGAGGTGGGAGTGCCTGGGGAGGGAGGGAGGGAGGCTGGGAGGCAGTCCCCACAGCGGGTTTTCCGCCCCTCCGCCCGCTAGCCTAGCCTGCGCTCTGAGGAGTGGCTGGAGCTTGCAGGGCGCTTTCTGGAGCCCGTGAATGAACCCTCCTCCTCTCCCTCCTCCTCTCCCTCCTCCTTCTGCTCGCCGAGTCTCCTCCTCGGCGCTGACGGTACCGTGATATAATGATGATGGGTGTCACAACCCGCATTTGAACTTGCAGGCGAGTTGCCCCAAGCCTTTCTGGGGAAGAGCTCAAGGCGCGAGGGTGCAGCCGCCGCAAGCATTAGGTCCTGAGGATAGGAACTGGGACCGGGATCGGCGACCAGCCCGGCATCCTCCCAGCCTCCAGCACCGCCGGGCACCGTCCTCCACCCTTCCCCGAGCCGCCACCGGGCTTCCTATGTGACCCGCCCGGGCGACGCGGAGCGTGACAGCGCAGCGGACCGTTCTGCCCCACGACTGCAATCAGCTGCCTTTCAAGGTAATCACGTTTCTTTTGTTCCCCCCTCCCCATTTTAAAAGAAAGAAAGAAAACTTATAGAAAAAAATACCCCGCGAGTTTAGGGGGAAAAAAAAAGAGGTGCATTGCAATTGGTAGAGGGCTTTAATGAAGGCAAAGAGAACTATAAAGAGAAGTTAAAAAATTATGTGCTCTTAAAAGAAAAAAAAAGCACAACACCCCAAAGGCACAGGTAACTTTCAGGGAGGCTTTAGAAGAGAGGAAGACTGAGGAGGTTCCCTGGTGCTGAAAAAGATCCAGACAAAAGAAGTCTGGGGAGGGGGGGGGGTGGAGTGAAGGGGAAAGGACACACAGAATGGAGAGAAAGTAGAGAAACCCTGGAAAAGTCGTGGCATCTTGAACTGGGAGAAGGGTTGGGATTCCTGACACCTTGGCTTTTGTTATTTGCGTACGGGTTCGAGGCAAAAGTTTGAATGGGGACTCCAGTGCCTTGGCTTTGCACCAGTCCCCGAAGCCACCTGGGTACCTAGGCTACCTGGCGTCCCGGCCCCTGTGTGTGGTCAGTGCCTGGCGTTCCTGGAAAGCCTCTCTGGAGCAGCCCCTGACAGGGCAGCGGGCTCCACAGCAGCTCTGGCCCCCCGAGAAGGTAATCCCCTCGATCTGCAGGCAGTGCGGGAGAAGGACTAGCAGCGGAGGGGTGCCGGGTCTCGGGCTTCAGTTCTTTCACGACTTGGGGGGTTGTCACGGCCCTCTCAGGGAGCCCCCTGGGTTCTTTTGTCCTGCGCGCGGTGCGCGCTCGGGGCCGGCAGGAAAGGAGCCGGGGATGGGGGTGGGGTCGTCGGAGCCCCGCGGAGGTCTAGGAGGAGCCTGGGCGGGAAAGCTTGCCCTGAAGCCAAAGAAAGGTGGGCCCCCCTTTTTTTTCATCCTCACCCAGGAAAGAAAAAAAAAACAAAACACGAAATGGGGGGGGCTGTCGCTCGGGTCTCAGCAAGCAAACCAGTGCCTAGGACACTGTAGACAAAGGTGGTTCGGGGAGACCCGAGTTAAGGGTCCACCGTGCAGCCTTTCCGCCTGCAGAACAGCGCTCTGCGCTGCCCCGGGCCGCTTCCTACCCGCTCCCAGCGCTGGGCTCTAGTTGAGCAACTTTCCTAGCGGGTCCAGTGGCTGCGGAGCGCGGAGCGCGTGCGGGGAGTCCCGGGCACGCCCTCCGCCGGAGCGCCCCACCGCCCGGCGGGGACGGGGGCGCTGCGGAGCCACTGCGCCGCTGCGGGCGGAAGGGGGTGCCGGGGTGTCCCGGCTGGGTCTCGGTGTCACTGGGCGTGGAGCGGGACGGGTGTTAGCGGACAGAGGGGGTAGGAAAACAGTGTCATAGCCTCAGCTATTCACCCTCGGATCCAGCTACGCCCTGGCAAGTCCTGCCTGTCTCTGGGAGATGGTGCGGGCTTAGGGGGCAGTCTCTGGGACTCTCGGAAAGAGGCGTGGGCACGTTGTACAAAGTCTAATCAGCGTCCTTGCTTCTCATCTTTGTGTCCTGCCTCACCCCCTCCATCTCCCTCCCACCCCGTCTCCATCTTCTCCACCTCCCTCCTTCCCCTTCTCCACCGCCTCGCTCCATCTGCGTCCCCTCCCCCACCGCTGACAAATGAATGGCGAGTGTGAAATCCCTGCCTTCCTGGTCCGTGGAGGCCGGCTGGAAGGGAGGGGCGAGAGGGGCGGTGCGCAGCTTCGGGGTCGGTCTCCAGCTCCCGCTTCCCTCGCAGAGAACCCTGATGTCTAGGAATAGAGTTTTGCGGCGGGTGTGGGCTCCCCCTGATGGAGAAATTCAGCACCAGTGAGAGAGAGAGAATAAAAAAGAGAGACCCTCCCACCCAACACAAATGATTCACTTCCACAGTCTTACGTTCCAGGTTGTGAATGACTCTTTTCTCCATCCAGTCCTTATTTTGCACTGTGGGATCTGGGATTTGGAGGAGTGACCAAAAAATTAAAAAAAAAAGAATTTGTGTTTCCAAGTGCCTGGTGGTACCTTTTTGAGAGTTGCCTGGACGGTCCCCGGACCTTCTGGGAGGATCCCACTCCACCACTTGGTATTTCCAGCTTCGGGAATCTTAGTCAAGCAGGTGATTTAAGTTGTGCACTTTTACAAATCTTCTCTAGGTCCACGCCGTTGCAAAATCAAGGTTCCTATTCCAGAACTTAAAACTTCCCTAACTTTAGGACCCACGTTGTTTATGGAAATAGGGTGCAAGGGGGCGCAGGGGGCTCACGCCTGGAGGCAAAGGGAAGGAAAGGAGGCCTGCGGAAAGCCGGAGGGGACAAAGGAGGGGAAGAGAGAAAGCGAACAAGAATGGAACAGAGGTGGGCAGAAGCACGCCAATAGCTGGAACCAGAAGCACTCGTGTCGAGGTTTTTTGTTGTTGTTGTTGTTCTGAATTTCGGGCGTCGTTTTAAGATACGTCTCAATGCTCCAAGTGTTAACCAACGCCTCTGCAGAGGCGCGCGCGCTTGGATGGAAGGGTGGGAAGGGACTGGAGGAGCCGCGGCGGCCCAGCTCCACCCACTGAATCTGTGCGCTGGGCCGTCAGTCCTTCATCTCTCAGCCTCTAGGAGGAACTGAGCCCAGCACTTCCCTCAACGCCGGGAGTGGGGGGAAAAGGGGGGGGGTCGCCAGCCGCCACGTGGGCTGGAGTTTCCACTCCAGGCCGTAGACGGGTGTGACTTCCTGGGCTCCGAGTCAGCTGCACAGCTGCACAGCTGCACGGGCGGTCAGCGCAGCCTGAGTCCAGAGGCGCCGGGGCCAGGGGGCTAGGGCTGGACTGGGGCGGGGCTGCACTGGGGCGGAGCGGAGGAGGGCGGGGCCCTGGCTTTGCCCGGAGTCCAGCGGCCGCCCAGCCAGAGCACCAGGGCGGGCGGCGGCTGGAGCGGATCCAGCTTCCATCCAGACAGTGCTACATGCTCTTATTCAAAGGCTTTACGGTTTTTTTTTTTCTTTCTTGCTCTTTGGAAGTGATAGAGGTAGAAGAAGCTCCAAGTAAACTTTTTTTTTTTTTGGCGTAACAATGAGACGAATTTGTCCCGTGGTCCATGTATTAGTTTAAAAACACGTTCAAGTCGGTCTGAAGACTATTTTTAGCTGGGTACGAGAATAATCACTTTGGAGAATGCCATCCAGTGCAGAATGGCAGGACATTGCTTTTGATAGATTTCCACCAGGGCAAACAGTGAAAGGTTGCTGCTATTGTGACTCTGTGATCCCTGACCAGGCGCCCTAGGGCCGGCAAGCTGGTGAGGGTGGGGGGGGGCACCTCTGAGCAGGGACTTGCAGGAAGACTATGTTTTTCTGGTTCTGTTTTGGAGGAACTAAGTTCTAGTGCTCTTTTTTGGTATCACTTTCAATTGTTGCTAATTGGTCCTTTTTCCTTTTCCTTTCTGCCTAAAATCTGTGGCCTACATGATGCTGAGTATACAGTTAAGCAATTGGGCCAAACTCATTGTGAAAATATTCATCTAAAGCAGTAGAATACCTTTTAAGAACTTAATATAAAAATAGAAAGGTAATAATTAGCTGAAAAAGACTCGATTCCCAGTTTCAGAACCGCGTATCAGCCTCAGAGTCTGACTTTTCTTGAGTTCTAAGTAACACCGGGAACATTCTGTAATGTGATGTGCCTGTCCCTAGCAGAGCTACAACAGGATTTCCAATAGTTTTCAAAGCAATTGAGCAATGACTTCCTCCAGCAGGAAGTCCCCAGTTCTTAATCTTCTCGTGGGTGAGATTCACTTAGAATTTATGTAAGAATTCAAAGCTTTGTTTCTTTTGGTACACAAAAACATTATAGCTCTCCCTAAATCAGTTTGAAAGGAATCCCCTCAGGTGGATGTGTATTTATATATGTAGGCTTCTTCTTTTTCTTTGGTCTTGAAAATTAGAGGGGGAAGCCTCTGCTATATTCCTCCAAAGCCTCTTATCATATCATGCCAAATTCTGTTTGGAAAGGAACTAAAGAGCTAACTCAAAGCTCATTTTGATTAATGAGAAAGGTTTATCTATTGTTCCATGCTTTCTTACACTGCTTAGCTTAAACATTTTCTGGTTAATGATTGGTCAGTAACTGAGCATCCAAATCTTTGAGAGCACAAAGATCAACTAACTCTGTCTCCTCCAAACAAAGAACTAAGCCTTCCTTTCCTGGGAGCTTTTAAGTATGCTTTGTTGAGTTTCTTCATCAGTAGACACTGCATTTAAAATGGAATATATCACTGTGAAAGAGTATAACTTTTCAAAACATGGGCTTCTTTTAAGGCAAAGAATGAATTACTATATAGTAGGTTATAGCTTCACCACTCACCTAGGGAAATTAGAGCAGACATTTATTGTTGGAAATTACTTGCTCTCACCTGAAAAAAATAATATCACCTTTTGTACAGGTTTGTTTGTCCTGTACCAGAAAATACAAAGCCTTTATTCTCCTTGGTTTGGAATCAGAACAAGGAGTTAGAGACCAACCTCCATATGAATTGGTGAATTATGGCCCATTCCTTCTTGTACTTAGATGGGTAAATTACACACACACACACACACACACACACACACACACACACATACACACCATGTATGTTTAGAGATATATAGATATATACATCTATATATAGATCTATATTTATATCTATTTGTCTTTAGATCTCTCTATATATTAATCTGACTAGATCTATTATATACAAAATGGTACAAATGTAGATCTACATCTGTATTTATATCTATTTTTATGTCTATATCTATGGCTATCCTAATTCTTCCTTCTAAGAGTTTTAAGACATGTTAACACGTATAAAATGAGGTTTCTTATTTTGCAATGAAAACAGATAATGCATAGTGTATTATAGTCATGTTACTAGTCAACGGCTAATTCAGCTCTATATGAGGTATGGTGGTTTAGGCACCAGACTTAGGATCAGAAGGTCCCCCCCTGGGAAAACCAAGTTGAGACAGAACATCTGGAGCTTCAATGTCATAATTTATTAATTAATATATAGTTGTAAAGACCAAATTTCACACGATACTATTACTACTGTCTAATAAGTTCCTGAAATTTCATGTCAAAGCATTACCTGTTTCTTTGTATTACAGTGATTCTCCCTTAGAAAGAACTAAGGAGTAATACTATGGTACACAATGCCCATTGCATTTACCTTGTATCTAAAGTATCCTGGACAGTTGGTTGTCTAAAGGAACTGGTAGGACAGTAGACAAAACCACCATGTCTGAGTCCTTAAGTTACCCCTCCATGAGCTGGGCTTCTCTAAGATGGAGGGAGAACTTTGGCTCTTTCTCCAAGGTAGCCCATCCCCAGCATGAACCTGCTCTCTGCAGACAGTTCTCATGGAAAGGAGATCTGTTGACCTTGTCTCTTGTGTCTCTCCAGCAACCAAACAGTTTCTGTCAGCTGTTTCTTGATTGTTTGAGGACTTTTTCCTTTCCTCATTCACTTTCCTGAAGTATGAGTTTAAATATAGGCACCAGCTCTCCTATCACCTTGGTCTTTCCAGGCACATAGGTCTGTTATCACATACAGACGGTGTATAGAAGATAGACACTGAAGAGCAGAGGAGTGGAAATGGGGGTTGGAGTGAGGCTAAAAACAAAAAAAGAATCTTCAGTAAGCTCAAATGAAGAAGGAAGACAGTCCCTACACAATTAAAGTTACAGACCTGGCTTTTGGAAGATGAGAGAAGTGGAACGAATGTCCCTGGATGCTGAGGAAGAAACAATTAAAATGTAGAGCCCTGACAATGAATGTCCTTAACTGCATTCTGATACACTTACTGGAGAGAGAAATGAACTTTCTGTGAGTGTTGCAACTCAAGTGCCCATAGAACCAAGTCCGGAGTGGAAATGGATAAGCAGCTAAGTGGGGTCAGTGATATGACCTCAAGCATGCAAGGGCAGTGGGTGACATTTGATTACTGCTGTTGATTAGCCAGTTGGAATATGAACCTAGTGCTGCCAGATCTTCTGATTTAGTAGGACAAAGAAATGGGACCTGGCATGAACACTGCAATTTCTAAGTTGGAGTGACTTATTCAAACATATATGCCACTTCTAGCACTGTATCCTAAGCCTGTCTGGTCTCTGAAATATTTGTAATATACTGGCTTCCTTCCCTAGTTTAGTTTTAAAGATAGGTTTAGGGCAAATGATGGGAATACTTACGTAGATGAAGGAAACTTTCCCACTCATGCAAAATATTAAAGTCATTTTTATGTGGATAAAATGTGATATAAAGTGAGTTTTGATTTCTGTCTTGAGTAAACCATTAAGATATAGAAGGCCCAGTCCTGGAACAGACTCACACCTCTGTCCTCTGGTCTTGCTTATTTTAAGATTTGATATAAGTTGACCCATTGTAACAGTGAGATGTACAAGACACTATGTTGGAAACAAACGTTACAACTTCGGGGAGGGGGAGAAGGAGAGGGTGTTGTTGTGGAGGTGGGAGTGGGAAGGAAAGGAAAGGAGGGGAAAAACAAAGGAGGAGGCAACCATGCTCCACAGGAAATGTCCTCATTACTTGCTCATGTAACTGCAACCCCTCTGTACTGTATTTTCACAATAAAAAAAGCACAAAAAAGATTTGATATCTTGGATATTGACAGGTATCAGACGTTATTATTGAGTCATAATAAATATTCAACTGCACCAATTCAAATGTATTTCCACTATTAATTAGCCCTACATGCTTTTATTCATGAGGGGCTATGGATACTTCCAAGTAAGTTTCTGAATAAAACCTAGAAGCACTAGTGATGTATTTGATTTAATAATGTTCTTTAAGGGACTTTTCTGAACCTGGGATTATATAAGTGTAGGAACTATTAAGTTGAATAATATATAGTTCTGCCCTCCAGAAGCCAAATATTCTACAGAAGAAATAAAGCACACCTAAAAATAATCATTCAAAATACATCATGGTAAGTTGTAAGGAAATTTGTTAAAAACAAAGTTGTCTTCTGGTTTTATAGTGATTCATTCAGATAGATACCCATGGTTGCATCATCTTTGATAGAATTTTATCATACAACCTAAACTTTCATCTTGACTGTCAAGTTGTATCTTCAGTTTTTGTAAAACATTGTAAGGTAATTGAGATGTATCTAAAACGAACTCATAAAATGTACCTGCTTGCTGAATATAAGATATATCTTCTGAATATCTTATAAGATATTCAGAAATTTAAAAACATACCTCCTAATTAGTATTTGTCAATATCTGTTAGCATATCATAGTCATTTACTACAAATAACAGATTCAATTGTCAAGGTGCATTAAGGATTACAAAATGCATCCTTGCCATTGTGAACTACCAGTTGACCTATAGAGAACCTCAGTATATTAGGTTTAAACAAATATTCCCCAGGAAGTATACAGAATTATGATACTTTGCAATTTTGTTTTGAAGAGGTTCTAACACTTACTTTAAAACATATGAAGTAAAGCCAAAGTGCAAAATAATATTAAGGAAAAATTAATAACTCTTATAAATTATTATATTGAACTTGAGGACAAAATTGGGCTTGGATTCTTCTCGCATGTACTTTTTTTTAAAATTCAGGTTTCCTAGATAATAGAGAACTTAGTTGTTTTTGAAAAGACAAAAGATACCAAATCCAATATTTCTCAGTGAAGATCTCTTCCTTTGTAAAAAGGCCCAAGATTATTTAATCAGCTTTCTAGTACTAGATTTAGCACACAATACGGGACGTTTCAAGTCCATAAGTTCTTGGACTTCTTGAGTTGGTGGTTTTTGGGAAGGCAATGTCTTTTTATTTCTGGAGCAATGTAGTAGAGGAAGTCCCTCATCTCAAGGCAGCCCAGAAACAAAAGAGAGGAGAGACCAACGCCCCATAATCCACTTTAATGGTATTTCCCCAAAGATCTAAGACCTCCCACAAGGCTCCATCTCTTAAATCTTCCCCTGCTTTCCAGTAGTGCCAAGCTGAGGATCAATCCTTTGGACATAGGCATTCGAGGGCCACTTAAATCTAAACTAGAGCAGTCCCCAATACTTATTTTCTTTGTGATTATAACTTCTAAAAATTCAAACAGGAAGGGACCCAGATTGTTAACTATTTTTCCTAAAGTCACACAAATTAATGGTAAAGCCCAGGACAGGATTTCTTGATTTTTTTTTTTTAATGCAGAATAGTTTCTTTCACTATTTACTCTTGAGACCTTAGAACTGTTTGAAGTGTTTAAAAATTCTGACAAGTATTGGTCACTTTTGTCACCAATAGCTCCTCCTTACATTTATTTTGTTTGTTCAGCCAGCTAGAAAGTCACCAGTGTCTGTGTTTTAAAAAGCCTGCTGAGGTCTTTATGTTGTCTTGATGTCACGTGCCTGAGCTACCAAAGGGTTCCTTCTTACTTCAAGTCTGACTTTCAGCATCTCTATTGCTTCTTCGTCTTCATCTTTGCCATCGTCTCTTGCTCTATTCTTGACCAGCTTACTGTTCCTAAATAGATTTTGTGGTCACTTCTCCCTCATTGTGCCAGCTTCTACCCCTGAGTTACTTGGGCTGTGGTCGCTATTGTTCTTCCCATGGCTACCCAATTGTGGCTGTTACATATATCCATATGGTTATATGGCCTCAAATTGAGTTATGAAATTATTTTAGTAACTATTACCTTGAGTAAGACTCAAAGTAATAATTAGAGTGTTGAGATAACTTCTCCTGTTACAAGTCTCCTCTTGTTTTTACAACCCAAGAGGAGCTATTTCTTTGACCACACACAACGTCCAAGTAACATGTGATTTATGGCCTGCCACCAGCCTGAATGCTTGTGATTTACTTTGCTTTTTTTGTCTTTTTCTAGGACAAGATGTTGATAAATATAAAAAGCCTCTTATGGATGTACTCAATCTTAATAGTAACCCATGTACTACATAAAGGTGAGTGTGGTAGCAATTACTTTATTGCTATTGGAAATTAAAATGTTATACTGGGGGATGGAATGACAGTATTAAAACACCACAATAAAGAGTTGTCTTCTTCTTTCTTTTCTTTCTTTTTTTATTGTAAAAGTGATAAGAATTGTCTTAAATCTGTTGAATTCTTAAAACTCTTGTCAAGATAATGTTACACTGAAAGTAGTAGATTTAAATAAAACAATTAGAAACACAAACAAACTGGGGGCTAACATTGGAAGCAGTCTTTCAGTAACTTCCCACATTATTATTATTATTATTATTATCATCATCATCATCACTTTCTTGTCAGTTATGGGGCTTGAGTTAAGGACCCAGGTGCTATCCTTGAGCTCTTTTGTTCAAGGCTAGCACTCTACCACTTTAAGCCACAGCTCCACTTCCAGCTTTCTGGTGATTAATTGGAGATGAAAGTCTCATGGACTTTCCTGCCCAGGATAGCTTTCAACCGTGATCCTGAGACTTCAGCCTTCTCTGTAGCTAAGATTATGTGCGTGAGCCTACTATTATTTATCTGATAGTGTTTCACTGTATAACCCAGCCTGATTTCAAACATCCATCTCAGCCTCCTCATAGTGCTGGGATTACAGATGTGAAGCATCACATTTGGTTCCCATATTTACTTTTGAACTGTGCATAAAGTTCATAGATGGCATTGATATGTGGTTAAAATTTCTATTCTTCCAATACTAGTTCTCAAAGATTTTTTTTTTTTTGGTCAGTCATAGAGCTTGAACTCTGGGCCTGGGCGCTGTCCCTATGCTCTTCAGCTCAAGGTGAGTGCTCTACCGCTTGAGCCACAGTGCCACTTCTGTTTTTCTAGTGGTTTATTGGAGATTAGAGTCTCATGGACTTTCCTGCCCTGGCTGGCTTTGAACTGTGATCCTCAGATCTCAGCCTCCTGAGTAGCTAGGATTACAGGTGTGAGCCACCGGCATCCAGTCTAGTTCTCAAAGATTTTACTCTGCCAAAATTTTTTTTTGTTATTGCTTTTTAGTTGTTAATGGATTTGAACCCATGGCCTCACACTTGTTACGTGAGCATTCTACTATTTTGATCCATCACTTTCTCACCTGCAGTCACTTTTGCTTTAGTTATTTTTCATGACAGATAAGTACCACCATGGACAGGTTTTTGGTTGAATTGGGGTGTCATGGAATTTCTTCCCCACTGTGGTTTCAAACTGTGATCCTCTGATATCCACTTTCTGAATAGGTAGGATTACAGGTATGAGCCACTGCTCCTGGCTGAAAGAAGGACTGAAACACTCAGGAGGCTAGAATTTGAAAAGAATTAAAATTGAAAGAAGGTTGACAGCAAATGTTTGCAGTTACCAGCCTCTGTCTTCTTTGTTCATAGATCAAGACAGGTGCACATGCACTGTTTTCCTCAGTTTTAAATTACATGGCCACTTAGTAAGCGTTGTATAATTCCAAGTCCACTATTAAGTATATGTAAAGAGACAGCAAAGCATTTGAAGAGAATTCAGATTTGATCTGCTTCTGTCTTGTTCCTCCCCAGATTCAGCTATTACTTTTTTCTTCCCATTCACTTCATACCTGAAACAGTTAGAAATAATTTCCTTCTGTATAGATTTATATTTCCTAGTTTTCCACATATCATTTCTCTTACTTGGTACTCCTTCTGCTCTTGACAGTTCTATTTTAATTCATTCAAGAGACTCAAGGTTCAGGTGTGACTTCATCTATTCACTTATCTATCCATTCTTTCTTCCATTCATCTGTGATCTCCATATGTACTCACAAACTACTATTTGACAGTCATTACTTGAGTGTTATTTTTTTTTGCATCAGCTATTATTGTAGCTGTCCAGGAATATACTAGTGGATGAATCATGCATTGTCCAAGCCTTTATTTTATTGAATCCTTACATGAGATGCAGAATAAATGAGTAGAATCTAGCTGTTTTCTGATGGATAAAAATAAAACGGAAAGTCGTAGTAGGGATTGGCTGTTTTGTGTATGTGAGGGGGGATTGGTAAGGTCTCTTTGAGAAACTAACATTTAAGTCTGAGAATGATGCAGGGTAGTCAACCAGCCAAGAGACAGCAAGACAACAGAAAAGTTACTGTATTTGAATACTAGTGAGCAAGAGGAAGGTAGGAGATATGGACAGAGATATAAGCGGATGCCAGCTCATCCAAATAATTATACTAAAGATTGGGATATAATTTGCTAAATGCAAATTATATTGCTTAATTTTTACTTTTACTCCATTTACTCCATTTTAGTCTCCATTTATTTCTGATGTATTTTTTCAAATTTTTATTTTTGTTACTATAAAGGTGATTTACAGAGATGTTACAGTTACAAAAATTAGGTAATGAGTTTAGTTTTTGACAATGCCATCTCTTCCTCTGCTCTCTCCCAATTTTTCCCTTCTGTTCTCACTCATAAGTTTTATAGTTCATTTTCAACATAGTGTCTAGTGAATATCACTGCTACATTTGTTCATCATTTGTCCCTTTGTCCCTATGTGTTTAATAGTAACTGATTGAAACATTTATTACTTCTGTGTTATAAAGAGGAAACTGAGGCACCAAGAGAAGCAATTTGCTACAAACTCTACATGTTAGAAGTAATGAAGTCAGGAGAAGACCCATGGGAGTCCTTTGGAGTGTGATCTCTTCATCATTGTGTAACACCTCCCAACAGTTGAGGCAGTGGAGGTTATAGAAAGTATTAGAATTTTATTCCAAGTACAGTAGAAAACAGTGAAGGAATTGAGCCCAAAAAAGATACAAGTTAATAAATGGTTTTCAAATTTATTCTTCAGTCCTGTGAAGATTTGTTTTTATAAGAGCAAAAGTTGCAACAGCATTGAGAAGACCATGGTGGCGACCTGTGCATGTAATGGGTAGCTGTGTCAGCTAGTGGTCCTGGAGATGGAGAACTTTGATTTGAATGTGTGTAGGCAGAGGACTCAAACCTACTAATGCACTGCATGAGGTGTGCTAAGGGAATGAGAGTTCTCAAGAATAAGCTCATTATTAGGATATCCACTCACTTGCCTTTCCTAACCCTCCACTATTTTTTCTAGCCAATGCAAAAACCCTCTGCCCATGTTTCTATTGTTCCATGTGTTGTTCTAAGGATGATAATACATATAGCTTCTGTGACAAGTTATTTTCTTCCTTTTTTCCTAATTAGCTGACAAGCTGGGAAAGGACTGCCAATCCTGTTATAACAGAGGCTTGACACATTTCCAGCACTTAAACATTTTATGTGTTGACTGATTGGCTGAATGAATGCCTCAGTGAATGACCCAGGTGGCTATCAAAGTCTAGCATCTACTAGCAGTTAATAGTCCCAACAATTGTCGTCTTTAACTTTTTCAGGAAGTGAAGGTGAAATGCTCAGACAAAGAAGGGCAATAACTGCCTATGAAGAGATGAAGAGAGAGGATTTAGAAAGGATATAAATGGAGAGGGGAATTGGTTTGGGCAGCTAGTAGTGGTAGAGGAATTGGAGAAAGTAGTGAGTAAACATACCCACAGTTAAGTTTACATTTTCCGTTTAAAGGACTCCACACAATGAAAAACACAGCAAAACAACATGTAGTTTATTTGAATGATAGTAATGACCAACAATGTTGAGTAACATCTACATATCAGACCTCTTTGTAAATCCATGACCATGGTTAATCCCTGTAATTAATTTAGGGTTAAGGTCAGGAGAAGTTAAATATTTCCTGTGAAAAACGAAAGTGGAAAAATTTAAGGACAGGAGTAGGATATCTTATGAGAAGGAAAGTTTAATGCTCAGAGCAGGAAATGTAACAATATTCTACTGTTGAAATGATACTAGTATGAACCATTATCTGAATCCCTGGGATCCCACCTTTCAAAGTCTAATTGAGGACCAATTCATCTACTAGTTAGCTTTATTTTAACACGCAAAAAGTTCTTTAAAAAATACTATCTTTCAGTGTATAAACTGTCTTAATCCTTGGTTACCTACTTAGGTTTCACTTGAATATTTTATTTTCATGAGCATATATTAATTGCACAAATAACAGGTTTTATTTTGCTATTTCCACACATGTGTGAAATGTACTATGATCATATTCACTTAAGCTATTATTCTTCATTCTTCTTCCAGCTTTCCCCTCTATCATCTCCCTAGTAATTCTGTTTTAACTTTGAGGACCTTGTTCTTATTCTTCTATATGTTTCCCTAATAGGAAAACAAACAAAAAAACCCCAGAATACACATATTTGAGCTAATGAATTAACTAGGTAATGATATTTATCAAGAAAGCCATAAATTCACATATTCTCAATCAAATCTTTATTTGGCCAGCATTTCTGTCTTCCCTCCCCTTCTCACTTCTCTTCTTCCTCTCTGTATATACAGATGGAATTTACATCATTTTTACTGTGCAGAATCTAGGGACAGAATGGGGAGTAATTGATCATTCATTACTTGGAGCTTTCTCTCTTACTATACTCATTTAGACCACAAAGCATCTGGTGGAACACTGAACTTTTTTGTTAGGATACATTTTTATTACTAGACTTTTCAGAATTTCAGGCAAGTTCCTGTGGGTAGCAGATTTAAAAAAAACACATTCATGGTCTATATACATTATAGTCTCAACTACTAAATTTTTTTCTTAAAATATTTAGATTTAGTGAACTTAGTTCTCATGCTTCAGTGATTTAAGACTCAAGATTTAATGCACAAATAGGCATGACTACATAGCTTTTTGCTAATCTTATTTTAGTGAGTGGATTCTACAGGTACATATATTTATGTGAGATCAGATTATTTACTTGTATATATCTTAAATATCCAAAACAATAAGTAGTCATTGGGAAATAGTTATTATAACATAACTATTAATAACATAGTCATTAGGAAAAGTCCTGATTTTCATAAATTTCCTATTGGCTAGATTAGGCTTTCTTTTAGGTTTGTCCCTTCAAACTTAACCCTTAAACTGGAGAATTTATTTTCTAAGCTGAGAAAGGCATTAAAAATGGAATTATTCTCTCTATATTATAAGTGGGAGAAATCTAAGTAACTATCACAGAGTTAAATGCACATCATTTTGGTAAAGGGTAAGCAGGGGAGGGATAGGTGAGTATGTTGTAGAGATAATCTTAATCAAGATATATTGTATAAATTGCTTTGTTAAATGGCAACTCACTTGTAAAGCTAAGAAAGAAAGAAAGAGAAAAAAGAGGGAAATAAAGAAAGAAAGAGAGATGGAGACATTACTTTGGCTGAAGAAATGCCTGGAAACCTGAGTTCAAACCTCAGATCTGATTCCCCCGCCCCCCAAAGAAAAACCCACATCAAACCCCTCACAACAAAACCAAACAAAAACAGTAACAAAAAAAACCCCAACTTCACTTCCTCTGGAAGCTTCTATTAACTCATTCATATTTTCATGAAGTGGGCATTGTTTGTCCATTAACAATAATTCTATTTTCTATTATTATCAACACATTTTCTAGCCTAATCAAGTGTTTGGTAGATGGAGCTGGACTGGAGAGAAGGAAATGATAAAGAATGAAAGGACATTTCCTTTTGTAGACAGTGGTGTTACCTTACAGTCGGTGTATTCTTTGCCATTAATAGTTTAAGGGCTTAAACAGAAAATAGGTATTTCTTTTTTAGAATTAAATGAACAGAAGCGGGTCCCCACCCCCCCCCGCAGGATATAATGAGAAGTAATATTTCATTGCAACGTGATTGCAGCTGGTTTTGCCATTATAATGAAACCTTTGGTCAAATGGGGCCCAAAAAAGGTCCTTCAAATATCAGACTCCTTCATTCCTATGAAATACTCTTTGAAAAGGATATTCTCACAAATTTTATGTTCATTTCTGCAAAGGTAATGTGGCAGTTACCTTAAGCTTTCTCTGACTTGTAAATAGTAATTTTCACTCAACTATTTTTCCTAACACTCGTCCAGTCTTTTAAAACCTGCGCTGTTGATTCTAGTCTGCTTCTCCTTCAGTTCCTGATTACTTGCTCTTACTAATGTCTTATTTTATTACTTATTTTTTTAAAAATTTTAAACACTAAGGGATAAATAAATGTGAACTCCTTATCTCAATATGACATGTGCATTATTTATCTTCATTCGAAAACGATTGAAATTGTGTGCTACTTTGTGTGCAAAATGGTTCTGATTTTTTTCCACAATAAAGATGTAATTAAACCCTCGTAAGGGGTTCCTGTCTGATCACGTATTTAACAGACTTGGTTTGGGTTTCCCAGGATTGTTCAATCTGTCCTTTTTCTCTTTCTTTTAGTCAAAGCGGAAAAAAGCCCCGTTAAGGGCTCCCTGGCTGGAAGAGTCAGCCTACCTTGCCATTTTTCAACCATGCCTACCTTACCACCCGGCTCTAACACCAGTGAATCTCTCAGAATCAAGTGGTCTAAGATCGAAGCGGACAAAAGTGGAAAAGATTTAAAGGAAACTACTGTTCTTGTGGCCCAGCATGGAAATATCAAAATTGGTCAAGACTACAAAGGGAGAGTGTCAGTGCCTACGCATCCGGAGGACGTGGGCGACGCCTCCCTCACCGTGGTTAAACTGCGTGCTAGTGACGCAGGAGTCTACCGGTGTGACGTCATGTATGGGATTGAAGACACTCAGGACACAGTGTCACTTGCCGTGGATGGTAAGTTTTTTTTTTTCCGAGTCCATAAGAAAGTGGTCAGCTTAGCACTTGGTTCAGAAGTGTGAACTGCGACTTGGGAATGATTGTTGCTGGGTGATTAGACCAGGAGAAACATAAACATTAACTCAATAGTCCATGTTTGTTACCAGAACTGAGCTGTTTAAATTTAGAGGCCAATGCAGATGACCTTTCCTGCAACTATTTCATTGGTTCCAGTAGTATAGTAGACTGGAATTAATGAAGACCTCAAAGCATAATACATAGTTTAATAATTTTTGCGTCAGTGTTGAAATGTGTCAGTGATCACTTTTGAAGATGATAAAAGCTGATGTGCATTCCATGTTAATTTTTACAGATGTGGGTGAATTTTCATGTATATACACACACAAACATATACACACACACACACACATATATATATATATATACATATAAACACATACACACAAAACAGTATTCCTTTCTTTCTCACTTTCTTACAAATTTTTATTCATTTATTTTGTTTGTTTTGTGTTGCGTGGATTCAAATTCAGGCCCTTATACTACTAGGCTAAGTGTTCTATCATTGAATTACATTCCAGGAGCTATTAGTGTTATTATTAAAATTTTAGAGTTTATTTTCAAAAATTTAAAATTATAACTTATTGAATAAATAAGATCCTTAATAAATACCACATTATATATCATAGAGTCTTGAGAAGGCCAAGTCTCAATAAACACTTGAATTGGATCATCATCATCATCATCAAGTGAAAAAAATTTAAGGTTAACATATCAGTTGTTAATCACTAAGTTTTGCAGCAAGACATTTCATTTTTATTCTTTTCTTAGTGGTGCTGTATGTGTCACTTAAGTTTAAGGTGGGAGACCAAGCAAAGAAAAATTACTTTAATTGGGTGCACACATAATGTTGTAGCTCTTGGAAGCAGAATGTTTTGGCAAGTCATTAAGCAAAAGTCTAATATCCAGACATAATGAAACTGATTTTCTTCTAAACCTCCCTTTTCCTATAAAATATTTACCTTTCAGAAATATGTAAAAAGGAGATTTTAAAATTCAAACTTTTAATTGTTTAGTTGAAAGGAACTACTTAGGGTTTCAGATACAACAAACGAATCTACAGAGCATCCTGAAACATTCTAATTTTAGTTTGATTTTCTACAAATATGTTTTTATGTTGTCTGTGTATCCACTAAATGTCCTGAGATCTTCTAACCTTTTTATCATTTAGTCAAATTTATACCACTCTTATCTCTTCAAAATCCTAAAGGAGCTAACTTCTACAATTTTTCATCATTAAAGAATGAGCAATGAATTTGTCTCTTGCTCCTCTGGAACAATGAAAATCCCCCACTTAATCTCCTTAGCCCCATGGGGTCTTCAAATTATTCCAACAATTGCAGATACTTACACAAATTGATCTTCCCTGCCTTCAAGAAGGGCTCCTTGTCCCCTCCTTACTGTCGATCTTCAAGACACGTGAACAATTTTTTTTTTTT